ACATGTGTGCTTAAGTGTTTTTGCTCTAAATACTGTACTGTAACCATTCAAAATGGCTTCCAAGCACCCAGCAAATGCTAGTGATGCTAGTGTTGTGAAGAAGCAATGCAAGATCATTAGCCTTGCTACGAAAATGGAAGTTTTAAACCTCCGGGTCTCAGTGACTCGCCACCCACCTCCTCTCCTCTACCCACTCGCTCCGTCTCTGCCCATCAATGAGAACAGTACATTACAAAATGATTTAGCTTATTTATCTTTTTGGAAGTATAATATATATTTTCTATAAAAATTCCATTGAATTGATGTATATGTAATGTATTTTATGGAGCAAAGGGAGGCTGGGAAACGTACTCCCATATTTTATCTATTTCTTATGGGGAAAATTGATTCCGTTAACGTTGTGTTTTTCAAGAATGTAACCAAGACATTAAGCAGGAACTTACTGCACCATGTAGAATGTCATTGGCTCCTATCTGTTGTCTGGTGGGCGGTAGTGCCACATCCCACAAAACACGCCAGCCAGTGCACCCATTATAAATGGAGACAACTGTACATTGTAAAGATTGATGGTAAGAGAGTTAGGTTGGAAGATGTGCGGAAGGGAGAAATGGAGTCTGTAGCAGTGCATCTGTGAACCTTAGCCCTGTATAAATGAAAGTAAACTGCATACATGCAAACCTAGTTCTTGTAAAGCCAGCATAAATGAGGGCAACCTGTACCAATATTTACCATGAATACATTAAATAAGTAATGAAGCCTCGACTCCGTCAGAGAGTAAAGTGCAGTACAGTACATCAAACAGCAACAACAACAAAATGAACTGGAGGGATGGATCACATGAGCAACATTTGCATAAACACTGTACACACCATCACTTGCATAAACATTTGTTCACATCTAATAAGCACCCATTTTCCCTGTCTTTCACCATTTGGGGCATGACTCACACTCAAGTTTAGAAAAAGAGTGATAAGAAAAGGTCACAAGTTATACCTGTAGCATCCTTCTTATGGATAAGTAGGATAAAACACTAGCTGAAAATTTTCTACTTTTCTGTTTATTAATAAAATATCGATTATTGTCTTTAAGAAAATTTTCTCTATCATAAAATTCCCAAAGAAAGAGGTAAAATAATGATATTGACAAATGAAATAAAACGCTGCATGTAAGACTTCCCTAATTACAGTATACAAACACATAAGAAAAATAATGCCTTAATACCTTTTTTAATTCAAAATAAGTTATTACCGGTAAATGAAATCAGTGTTTCACAGAATAAAGATACAATTCAAATAAAATCTAAATGCTGAATACTAAATTAAAGTTTGGATATCATGCAAAGTCCTGAGGTAGCACTGGTGGGTTCACAATGTCCTTTACTAAACAGCTACCTATACTGTCTTTGTTTCACCTCTTCAAAACATGGTTATTAATATTATCACTAAGACTGATGAATGTCATTTCTGACTGAATTACTCAGTAAGAGAACTTTTTACCGAGTAGTGGCTTGTAGTGAATACCGGTAGGTATTGTAGTACTGTTGAGAAGTTGCTGCTGGCTGTATGATTATTGCTGCAGTCATACTCCCAGCTTTGATTACAGCTTTAAACCAACAGCACAAAAATAAAAAGTTTTATATTACCAGTATTTGTGAGTTTAATTCATGTTACCAATAGAGCTTAAATCTTATCTTAACATGCGTATGCAGTGGCTAGTGTCGGTGAACTCCAGACCAGTAAAGTACTGTACTGTATGTGCAAATGGCTCTTACTTAGTCAGTTTTATACACTTTATGGTTTTTCCTCAATGAATATCACCAATAATGTTTCCTGCATTCAGTACTGGTTGGCGTTAGCAGAATTACTCATAAGTATTTTGATCACTTTACATCGAACAAGTCCATTAAAACTAAGGGACTGATCCTAAAATCCACTTTGTATAAGTGAGTTTGTAGCCAAGTGGCACATTGTGTGCATCTTACCTTCAAGTTTATACCCAGGAGACCTAAGACACTGTTGACTGCACAGCAAATCTGACCAATTAGTGTAACAACTTTACTTAAAAGCAAAATGTTGGAAGGAAAAGTAACCATATAAAGCTGGAAGCTACCAAGTTGTATCATCACACCAGAGGGTATGCACAATACTATTTGGCTGCTTCACTCACTCGTTGGTGTGGCAACACAGCTCAACAGCTTTCTACTTCACATAGCAATTTTTGCTTCTGATCTCCCCTTTCTAAGGGCAATACAGTAATTGCAACAGTGAAGTGTTCCAAAGGAGGTTAATTGGTCAGTTTAAGTCCAGTCATCAGTGTCAAGGGTCTCTTGGGTCTAGACCTAAAAGTATGGTGTGGACAAAACTATTTACAGTAAAGTACATTAGCCACCTGGCAGCAGAGCATCAGGTTTGTAAAAGTTAAGTTCATAAAGCTCTATTTATGGACCAATTTTCATACTTCTGAGCTCAGCCAGATGATTGCAACAAAAACAGCTCATGGAAAACCTCAAAACCCTATTTGTCATGTTGTTAACAAATAGATGTTTCAGTGCCAGTTTCACTTTCCAAACACTATGATGACAAACTGATTAATTTGTTGTTGTTTCCATCTCCAACAAAATAATGTGTATCACTCAAATAGATAAAGGAAGACACAATGACTCAATATGTAAATAAAAAAAAAAAAAAAAAAAACGATTGAGACATAAAAATTTAAGTCTGATCCTGAAAACCTTTTCATGATACAGTGACTTACATATTTACTCATTAAATTTTTAAGTTTGAAAATACAGGTAACCCTTGACATTAACAGCTGGGACTAATTCATCTTGTACCTGTCACTTGATTCAGCCATAAGCTAAAATTCAAGGCCTCAAATCTCATTTCCAGCCAACTTCATCACTCCCCACTGGGAAGGAGCTGGATGTCCAACTTGCCTGGTCCAGTAAACATGTCATTGGATTCCAACATTCACTGTAACCTGAAGCTGCTGTATCATCCTCAGCACTGGGCTCTTTCATGACAAAAGTGCTAGATTTAATAGGAATTCTACTGAGCAAAATTCTCCGACCCAATTACATGTACAGGGGGTATTCATATCCCAAGACAAGAATATTAAAAAATCATTGTAGCATTGTCATATTAATAAGTCTCCATAAGTTATCACATTGCCAGTGAAATAACCTGGATTAGAGGGCACTGGAGGTCATCCTCACTATTATGACCTGCCATTAAGGCAAACACTACTATAAAAGGTCTTAACTCAGCCTTTAAGGGAGTTGGGTTGACAGATTCAATTGCTCTCATTAAACAATCCAACCCAGTTCCAACAAGCTAACAGGCCCCCTGAAGAGTTCCCAATGATTTACAAAGGATTATAAGCAAGCATATATTATTAACTTCTCATAAGTGATATTACAGTGGGGTATGCTATAACGAACGGATCCTACTACGAATATTCCTATAACGAACGGTTTTACCTATAAAATTGAGAATGCTATAACGAACGCAACTCCTACAACGAACGCAGATGAATACGGGACTATTTTGCCTGGCGCATGAATATTGTTGTACCGCGACCCACAACATGAGCGTCAGGCGCCATCTTTGTCTCATTGTGTAGCCAGTGCACCACTGTTATTGTTGAAATTTCGTCTTTTGATGTGGAAATTCGCGTTATTTGTATAACTATTTTGTTATACAAGTATACAATTGTAACAATGAATCGTCCAAAGCGAGTGAGAAAGCTAATAACCCTTGAAACTAAAAAAGAAATTATAAAGAAATGTGAGAATGGAAGAAGCATTGCGAAACTTAGTGATGTATGGGATGGCTAAATCGACTATATGTACGACTTTGAAGAATAAAGAGGAGTTAAAAACTGTGCAAGTGGCTAAGGGAATCTTTAGACTTAGCAAAGCAAGGTGTAATGTGATTGAAGAGATGGAAAATTTACTCTTAGTGTGGATAAAGGAGAAAGAAATGGCAGGTGGTAACATTAGTGAAGCTATAATTTGTGAGAAGGCGAAACAATTGTTTGAGGACCTTAAAGCCAAGACTCCCAGTGGAAGTGATAGTGCTGTGCCAGTGTTTAGGGGTACCTGCATGCTGAATAACACTAAGGTAAGATAAAGTACCATATTTTTTACATTTTCCACAGAATTTTTTCAGTGTTAAGTGGTTGTATTTGGGGGCCTGGAACGGATTAATCCTATAACGAACGAATGCTATAACGAACAAGGTTCTGGAACCAATTACGTTCGTTATAGCATACCCCACTGTACATGCAGGTCCATTTTCCATTGAGGTAGAATAGCCTCACATCATCTAAAATAAAAATTCATGTAATTCAAATTTTTATACCACCAGGGAACTACTATACCCAGGCTGGACACCCACACCTGGCAGCAAAACTGTTTTATAAGACAGGCTGAATTTCTTACTGTGAAATCAGTTTTCTTCCCTTGATACAATCAGGGCTATGTTTGCCGTGCATACAAACATGCCAGTTAAACTCAAACTACATCATAATTATATGTAAACAATACCTGCAACTTGACTTAATTAAGCTCAAACTTAAATAAATAATAATATTAATAATAATAATACAGTAATAATAGGAAACACTGAGAGCAGTGGGGATCAGTCTTGAGCCTCTCCAAGTGCAGAAGACTAAAGGCAAAAGCACTGATCTGCTCCTTTATGAGATGTTGCCAGCAGGGATACACCTGCACATCAAGGAGGAGCTGGAACTGAAATTTGAGGCCTGGAATGGTAGCTTATGGTTGAGCTTTAGTGCCAGGCCCAGTGTGGACAAGTTAATGTTATGTAATGAGCTGTTGCTATCAACCTGAAGTGGTGATTACTGTTTATAAAGATTAATTTTTGGGACTTGGTTATGGAGGATGATGTAGCTAATCATGAATTAGTCCTAACTGCTTATACCTTCGGGTTAACCTGGGTTTTCAAATATAGTCTAGGTGGATAAATAAGCAAATCACCTGGGACAGGTATTATTTAATATAAAAAATATAGGTGTTGTCATAACTTCAGAATGAAAACTTCAATATCTGGTGTCAAACATTAAGCTCAGTTATGTTTTTCTGATTAAAGTATGAAAATGTCATTTTGATAGTGAGTACTATGGTATACTGTTTCTTCCACAGTAGCTAGTATTTTTTTGTTTGCTAATGTTATGCATACACAGTAACTCCATTTTAATGAGGTTTCATTCAATCCTCCACACGGTTAACAAAATGGATGATCCTCATTTCTGCCTTACTTTAAGACTTGCTCCAGCTAGTTACACAGCTGAGATTCAGTGATAATAACTGTATTTTCATATAAAAATTTATTACTCTGAAGTCATAAATCTAAATCCAAATTATGACATTGGCCTTGTCCTGTAATTACTATTGTTCTTCATCTGATGGGACTCAAGATGAGGGTACAGATAAGAAATACAAGAAACCCCTCTCCCCCATGCTAGTTATTGAAGATTCATGCAAAGTACAAGCTCAAGGTCACAACAACTGTCTGAAATAGTTCCTTCTAGCAAATATATTCTCATTTACAAACATGCATGAAAAAATTTAAACATCAAATTGAGAGAGACAGGAGAATAATAATACTGTAATTCATTTGTCAATGAGACTCAAAAAATTGCAAGAACACTTGATGTCACACAACAGATAAAACTACACAATGCCTATTATAGAATGGCAACACATCATGTGATTCCTGCAGCATCAAGCTTAGGGTCACTGAGAGGACTGATGACAATGTGTATCTTGAGAGAATCACAAGGCTCTTGAAGATACCTCTTCCTTTCCTGTTGGAAAAATAACAATTAGACCATTGTAAAAATAGAGGCAATATTATGAAATCAATGGTAATTCCTGTACCTTGTACATCTTTATAATTCTTGAATACAGTATCTTGCAACAGCAGTAATTTTTTTTTAACCTTTCACAGTCAGCCCTCAGGATCTTTTACAAGAATTAGCCCACCCAGGCAAAACAGACAACACATTATGCCTCCAATATCTTCACAGGCAGTAGTACTTCCCTGTTTGATAGCTATCTACTTAGTCAGGAGAAAATCTGTCAAAATTGACAACTATGCTGCAACAGTGGAAAAAAATCTGAAAATTGGTACAGATGGACTGTGTGGTAAGAAAGTTTTTGACCCTAAAGGGCAAAGGTTTCAAGTCAAGATCAATCAGGGCATCAAGGTCAGATGCTAAAAACAGCCATAAAACAACTCCTCAAAGGTCTAGATGGCTGGTTTTGGTGTCAAAATGATCTTTGTAATAAGGCTGAGCCAAAGTCTAAGGCACATGTAACCCACCAGGTCACCTGGTCATATACACAGGGTCATAAAGTCAATCACATGACCACAAGGTCTGATTACTCTTGGTAGGACATTATGTATATACAGGGTATAGTATATTAGAAATTTTTTATAGCTTCATAATAACAACAACAACAACAACAACAACAACAACAACAACAACAATAACAATAATAATAATAATAATAATAATAATAATAATAATAATAATAATAATAATAATAATAATAATAATAAAATAATAATAATAATAATAATAATAATAATAATAATAATAATAATAATAATAATAACAACAACAATAATAATAATAATAATAATAAAAACGATAGTTAATTTTACCTGGAGTACAGTGTCAGGATGAATAGCCAGTGTTCGGTGTAACAGCAGTTTGCCGCTTGTTTGGCGTCAACTCCAACAAATGGAGGTATGGTAGACAGGTGGGAGGGTGAGCCAGCAGTCGGGCTGTGAATGCTGTACAGGTCAGACCAGTGGCAAAAGCCCAACACCTCCCTTGATTTTTAATTTAGCATATGCCCTGGCTGATAGCAGGATGAGAGAGCGGTGGACTCTGGTGGCTGAGTGTGAAGTAATATAGATACCAAAAGCAAAAGTGACCATTGATGGAGCAGTGAAGGCAGGCATGGTGGCGATTGAGAGCGACGGAGGAGATTGGTGATAGAAAGTGGCGAGCAGCTGGGTGGCGACGGTTGGAAGAGTGGGAGAAGAAGAGACAGTGGTGATTGACAGTGATAGTGGGCAGAGCGGTAAAGGAAAGAATAGTGGCGTGTGCAGGCAACAGTTAGAGGAACGGTGACGGAAGGGAAAGGAAAATCAGGAGTAGTGATCTGCGTGGACAGATTTGGTGAAGAGAACAGAGTTGATGATTTGAATGTGAAGGACTCTTAGTCATATAATGTATATACAGTATGTTCTTATTGTTTTGTTGAAAATGCAGTTATAAATGTAAACATTGCTCCTGTTATTGACCTACCAGTACATAAGGCAAACCCTACATGTAATCATATCTCTGATAACTGGGGGCCTGACCGGGAGTGCTTTGTATACTGGTGGGTTCGTGAAATACTGAACAATGAAAAACAAGTGGGGAAAATGGATTGATAAGGGAGAAACACTACAGGAATTTGTTAAAAAAAGAGTGAAAGAAAATAGGGAAAGAGAAGAGCGAGTTAGCAAAAGGGAAGTAGAACGAGAGAAAGCATTATGCCAGGATAACGAGAAATTAGCAGAATTGAAAAGGCAAGAACAGGAAAGAGACTTGGAAATATTAAGACTGAGGAGTGACCACGGCAGTCGCAACAATGAATGGGCTACCAAGACACTCCATCTGAAGCTCCCACAGTTTGATGATATGGACGCTTTTTTGAACGCTTTGAGCGCTTCACAAAATGTCATAAGTGGAGTGAGGACACACGGGCGGTAAGTCTGAGTCCTTTGTTGAGTAATAATGGGTTACAAGTAAACAGATCAGGTTAACAATTATCAGGTACAGTATAGTCTCGATTTACGCGGATTTCCTTTACACGGTTGGTCATTTGCTGCGCGGGCAGGGTGCGCGCTAGGTCGCCCAGTCAACAAAACATTACCGAGTTCTTCACCCGCCACCCACCACAGCCAGCCCAAGTCAGTGATAGCGATAGTGAGGATATGGACCTTGAGGGGTTTGACAGAGGCCCTGCAATCCTCTGTGGTGGATAGTGATACAGGTGAGGGCCAATAATCTGCCCTCTGCCTTGGAACCAACCCCCATCCCCGTGTGCCCAGCCATCTCTTCTACTAACGTAGGTGTTAACCGAAATGGACGTTGTCCGATCATCACATAAACTTTGTATTTATACTTACGTGTATGTGGAATACTATATACGTACTGTAATGTGATACAGGTGATTAATTTTTATCTCTTGTGCAAAATATATGACTTTTATATTCAAATTATTCGCTGTCTTGCAAGGATTCCAGCAATGCAAATTATATTCTCCCAACTTTAGTCTGTGATATTATATAAGATAAAACTGTAAGCCTAAAACCCTGGCTGGGGAGAGGGAGGGAGGGAGCGAGGGAGGGGGCGTAGGGAGGGAGGGAAGCAGGAGGTGAGGTGGTACGTTTGACAGTTGGCGCCCAAGGTCTAACGCGTGTTTATTTATCAATCCTTCAGTGACTAAGCTACTCTCTTATAAAAAGCCAGTGAAATGACCTGGGTGAATATATTTTACATTACTGGGATTCTTGTAAGATAGTGATTAATTTGAATACACCGTATATCTCGGCCTACAAGACGGAATTTGAAAAAAAAAAAAATCAGCCCAAAGTTAGGGGGTCGTCTTAAGCACCAGAGATAAAATTCTTACCTCTTAAATATTGCGGTTTAGCGTGTCAAGAGTGGTGATGGAAACATGGTAAACCACTCCCAAGGTCCTACCACTAATTATTTTATACTGAAACTTACGTTTGGGAAGCTGGATTAAAATGAAGATTACCGGTATATTAAAATAATAAAAATGTATTATAAACCAGTCTAACATAACGTAAAAGAACAATATACCCCGGTAATAAACACAGCTGCTATCATCATCCCCCCCCCCCACCCCCATTTGCCAGTGACAAGAAAGGGAAAGTGACCTTGACTGTGACCGCCTGTGGCTATTTTTAGCCGTCCTTGTGTTCGGAGGTGGTCAGTAATGCATATCTGTATATTTACTGATCATAATACTTATCTCCTATAAATAATTAATTTAAATTTTATTTTTTTACAAAGAATATTCAGTAAATGACTGCGTTAATTCTTGAAACTACCGACAGTGGTAAATTTAGGATGAGAATGATGAACAGAAGTCACGTCATGAATTCTGGATTCGGAGTTTGGTCCTTAATGATCACCATAAATTTCTGGTCAACTTCACCTACCAGGTATAATGGTAGCCTCCCTTTTTCGCGAAACAAGTATATAAATTAAAGAAAATACTTGCAGTGTGTTTAATGTATTACAGTATATTATAAATAAATAAATAAACAAATAAATCGGCAAATCTATTTCAAGTAAATGGAAATATTTTACTCACACCAACATTAGTTCTAGTTAAATAACTGACGCTTAAGTGATTCACTAGTGTACACCAGCCTGTAAAATTTGATGCCAATACTTGAAGTGAATTGGCATTATTTTAAATAACCAACCATAAATAAATGGAAAAAAGATCAGAGGTGAGAAACATCATATTGTATGTATGTTGTGTTGTCAAAGGAAGAGAAACAATTGAAACTCTGCAATTGTGTATAAATGAAGCAGAAAGATAAATCAGCAACCTAAGACTTGGTCACAATTTTCGTGATGCCATATGGAAGTAGGGTCTACCATTAGACAATACTGTACATTGTGCTTCCAACATCTTCCCAGGCAGTAGAATCTCCCTGTTTGGTAGCTGCCTAAAACTTTTAGTAATATTACTTTGATACAACATGATAAATTAGACAAACAATGAAAATAAACAAACAAAAGTTATTTACCAAGACCTTTCTCAGAACAGAGGGATGGAGGGGGAGAGGAGATAAGACAGCTATTTATAGCCTGTCTTTGTGTAGGAAGTTGACCACACTAGAAATAATTCATTTAAAATTTATATTTTTTACATAGAATATTCAGTACATGACTGCGATTATAAAATATTGTGAATATATATATATATATATATATATATATATATATATATATATATATATATATATATATATATATATATATATATATATATATATATATATATATATATATATATATTTGTGTAATAAATGTATGTAGTAAGTATGTACAGTAATCTTTTTCACTCAAATCCTAATGAAACACTATTGAATTAGAATACTGTAGCTCGCTGAAGCAAGCTTATAAATTAAAGAAAATACTTCCAGTGTGTTTAATATATTACAGTATGATATAAATAAACAAATAAATAGGTAAATCCATTTCAAGTAAATGAAACAATTGTATTCGACACCGACATTAGTTCCAGTTAAATAACAGACGTTTAAGTGAGTCACTAGTGTTTACACTACACCAACCGGTAACATTTGATGCCATTACTTGAAGCGAATTGGCCTTATTTTAAAAAACCATGGATGTGTAAACAGCACTGGTCAATGGGATGGTTGGTAAAGGACTACTGGGTCAGTAAGCTCCCAATAGTTAAGTTCACATTTGGGGTACCGGTCTTATACAGCGAATAGGGCTCAAAAGCTACTTTTTAAATGGACATTTTTGGGGTCGTCTTATACACCCCGTTGATATATACGGTATATTTATTATTCACTTTTTTTCAAGTGTAAATATAACATTGTTTTGGTGGCGACTGGCTCCCCATGTGTCTGTTTGCTGCTGAGTGGTGCCACCGTCATTAGCCTACTCATTACTCTTTCGTCACGTGTTGGAGTTGGACAGAGCGTTCTGCCAAATTTAATCATATCAATGTAATTTTGTCTTATTTTTTATAGGATTCTCTCTCACTTGCTTGCTTGCTTACTGACCTTTCTTACTGGATTCAGTAGGATAATCTAAAAAAAATTTTTTGGGGATAATAAAGACACTATGCCTAATTTCGTGCAGTCCACAAGACAAGCCGAGCTGTGAACGCAGTTTTGGCAAGCTGAAAATAACTACGAACTACTTGCGTTTATCTATGGCCCAAGAACGTTTATCTAACATAGCTGTTGTATCAACTGAACAGAAGATAGCAAATTCTATGAATTTTGACAGTGTAATTGATGAATTTGTGACCAAGAAAGCAAGAAAAGTGATTCTGTAATAAAGTTGTTCCAGCGTCATTCTTAATATGCATTCTTAGTTTTCAGTGATATTACTGTAGGTGCCTCATATGTGCTGATGCAATTAACAGACCATTATACTTTTAATTTCTTAATTGCAGTATTTTTAGTTAGTTGATATTTATATACTGTGCATTGTATTATGATAATTAAAATTGAATAAATAAACTTACTTTTTAGGATTAAGAGTTAAATCTGGTCAATCTGTCATCAGAATTGTCCAAGATTATTATTGAATCTGTTTACTTGGAGAGTAAAAGAATTTTATAATGAAAAGTTAAGCAATCCACTGGGTTATGGTATTTTCTGAACTGATTGTAGACTATGTGTGTTATGGCGCCATCAAGACTGATTATGGCCCTGCACACAATCCCAAGCTCAGGGGTCCTGCAAAGTGTCATAGACGAGATATCAAGCTACACAACCTAGAAATGCAAATGGCAGTGAAGGGAAGCTTCCAGCTACCAAGGCTGTTCTTCCACTATTTTATATGAAGGCACACTCCCCTTCAATGATCAAGCATGGGCTAGAGAAGCAAATGGAAGCGATCCAACATGCTAATCCTGGGTAGATCCCAGTGTTTGCTATGGACCAGCCACTCTTCGCTCTGTCAAAACACCTGCAGTGGACCTATTCAGCCCTCAGTGAAGAGAACCTAGTGCTCATGCATGACGGTATGCACACGGAAATGGCAATGTTATCGGCAATTGGAAATGTTCTTCAAGGGTCTGGCTGGATCATAACATTGCCACAGGCCACGTGGTTATCCCTGGAGTTCCTGAAGCAATTACTAGGGGAGTCCACTCGCAAAGGCTCACTACTACCATCAGGTCACAGTTGCAGATTTTTTGAAGCTACATAAAGAAGCTCTGGAAGAGAACCCACGGTCCATGGATGATGAGGATACATGGTTGTTAGCAATGAAAACAAAGTCACCAGCATTCTACTTTTGGGACCTTGTGGTGCAAATGGAGATAATTCTTCTACTCTTTGTCCGAGCACATAGAGAGGATCAAGAGATGCGGTGGTATCATTTGTAGATTTAAAAATTCAAATAAAACCTTACAAACATGTTTTTATATATCCCCCATATTGTTGTTTGGCAGCAACAATGCAACAAATTTTGACCATGAGTTTGGTCATCAGTCAAGGTCACTGTTCAGTTTAGGTCATTAGCAACACACTAATCACCTTTGTCTCATTATGACGATTCATATGATAGTCACACATAATAGTTTAAGCCTAATGCCCTTCTAAGTGTAAGCAGACCTAGCAGTCATGTGATTGACCTTATGACCCTGTGTGTATGACCAGGTGACCTGGTGGGTTACATGTGCCTTAGACTTTTTGCTCAGCCTTATTACAAAGATCGTTTTGACACCAAAACCAGCCATCTAGGCCTTTGGGGAGTTGTTTTATGGCTGTTTTTAGAATCTGACCTTGTTGCCCTGATTGATCTGATTGGCACATCCGTACCAATTTTCAGTTTTTTCCCCCACAGTTGTGGCAAATATGCAGATTTCCCCTAACTACTTACTACTTTTACCTGATGGATTATTTTTTTACTTTCATTTACTGTATTTTGTGATTCTATTTAATCTTTTCTCTTAAATTAAATGAAGTGGGATGTATATAAGTACTTAAGCTATGATATAGTGGGATTTTAAACAATATTCTGTAAGTATGGTAAGCACATAAGGTATGTGGTTTGACTTAAGTACATGTTCGACTTAAGAAGGTCCATAGGAACGGAACTCCTGTGTAACCCAGGGACTGCCTGTACAGTAAAGGGTTTCAGTAAAGGGTTTGAACACTTAATCAATACAAATGAAAAACCAAAACAGTACTTACTGGAGGATCATTCAAGCTGTCAAAGGGAAGAATATCATCCAGATTTAGAAGGTTGTCCTCTGTAGAAAAAATATATTTTGTGGATACTACATTAACAATGTACTCTATGCCTTCTTGCACAGCGAATACAAGAACCGCTATGCGTACACGAGCATATTCAACATCTTTTGCAGTAACGGCCAGCCTTACTGTTCTTAAGACTGCTTCAGGGACCTCCACAGTTCCTTGCCACACAATGAGGTAAAATTTTCTGAACCAAACACCCTGCAAGATGAAAGAAAATATGAAAAAGCAACAATGAAGCTGTGTAAACCCTTCCCATCACTACTGTATAAAGCAATCTACCCTGCATTGAGCAAATCATCCCTACTTCTGGAAAGTGGTATCATTAGTCACAAGCTTTAACCTGATATATTGTTCAACTTTCATAATTCTTGAAGACTTTTTTCAGTGTAAGTTTTTCAAAAGATTTCTTATTAATGAAAGTAATATCAAATACTTTCTTACCTTAGGATAGAGTTCTACAATCCATTCTAACTGGGTATCACAATCTAGCTCCGAGGCTGAGGCTGGTGTTGAGAAAACAAGGGTTCTAGTATGGTATGCTGGCAGACCTGGGAGGTTGTCTACTGTAAGACTAGCACTCCACTGTTCTGCTGTGTAAAGCCTTGGAGTGAAAAGCAGCCGGTTGGAAGGATCTGTATCCATCATTACTTCTCTGACACGCTCCCATTGACCTATAAAATCATAAAAAAAAATTATGAAATTCTAAGTTTGTTGATATTTAGAATTCAGCGAATCCACTCAGCTGGGGGCTTATAGCCAACCCCAGAATTTTTTTTGAAATCTGACCAATATCTTGGGCATTTTGAGGTCACATTGAAGTTATGTACACTTGATATTAAGAGATATTCTGAGGTCAATAGTAATTACTTTTTACTATACAAAAATGCCCGAGTAGAATACTGCATTAAAGAAAAATCATTGGAATTTTCTTAAGAAAAGGGGGAGTCCAGACACCAAGGATTCCCACCTCTGGATCTGCCTCTGCTTCTGAAGGATGAGTGCAAAAGGTGTAATTTCCATCTCCAATATTCATTATAACATGTCATTTTTGGGTGAAAAAGCTCTCGAGACATTAAGACACAGACCAAATGACTGTGGGATCAGGCTATGTTGGTATCCAGATTGTGAGGCTAAAGTAACACACAATTAAACCTCTTTGTATAAAATGCTGTCTTGCTTTTTATTTTATTGAATTAAGAGTATGAGAATCGGAAGGGGAAAGGATACCTCTTCCATCACCTGTCACTGCCTTGTACATGTGTAGTACAGTATTCAGTAATTAAGCCTTAAGTCATCCCAACTGTAGAATTAAAAAGTTACTAGATAATCTACAAGCAAAAGGATATACTGTATACAACAAGCACTCTCTTATCTGTTATTTAATGTATGTGGATAGGTTTTATCCATCCCATTACCATATGTAGTTTTATTATCTATATCAACCCAAAGTAGATGTATTAAACACTTAAGAAATAGACTGAAGTTAATGGTGACTAATAATGAGAAGAGTCATGCATGGTTGAAGGCTACTTTATAATGAATACTGTACTTCATTAAAATGTGTTCATTCTACTTATAGTGAGTCTGACATTATCACCTGAATGAAATGACATTCCAATAGCCATGCGAGTGACAAAGAACTCCTTGTACTTGATGGTCAGTGGCACCAGCAGCAGGTCGGCCAATTGTCTAGGGGTCATCATGGGGAACCGCACAAACTTCATAACCTGCAAATTTTACAATCATATTTATACAACACTTATGTTATTGTGTTTAGCATACTGATCTTAGACTAGTAGCATAGGAGTATTAAAGTATTTTAAGGTACGGATAAGTTTTAGTCTTTTTTGTTGTGAAAAGTTTCGCAATATATGTACAGTCTCCTTCCATAAATCATTACACTGAGATATTTGCTTTCATTTAGTTTTATTTTGAATCCATAGTACATTTACTATTGCAAGTTTCCTTCTGTCGAATGTAAACATAGGACTGCCACACTGCACAAAACAGAACAAGCCCCTGCAAATGCACTAGTGAAGGGGACTGTACACATAATTGTAAATATTTCTTTATACAGTAAAACCTTGATAAGTTAGCACATATGGGGCTCTGACCTTGCCGAATTATCCCAAATTACGACTTATCGACACACACACACACACACACACACACACACACACACACACACACACACACACACACACACACACACACACACACACACACACACACACACACGCACACACGCACGCGCGCACACAAAAATACAGGGGGTCCTCGTTATCCGTAGTTAATTAGGACTGGAAAAACGCCTCTGACAACGAATCCACTCAAAGAGGGGAATTAATCCCATAACAAATAATGGAAATCGGTCAAATTGGGACCATGGCATTGTACATGACACTAAAAAAAAATTCTATGATATCTTTTAACAATTATTTACCTTAGAAACATTTGTTAAACATTTGATAACACATTATTTTAAGAATTTATTTAAATTTATAAATTATCTAAAGCCCTTAAAGTTCATTAGGGTCGGTGTGTTGAGGCAACGTATGTTGTACCAGTGACCCGGTGGTCCGCAGCAACCATTGCTGGTGCACACTCACTCCAGTGGTTCATTGGGACAAAATACTTATTATAATGTGTAAAAATAAATAATTTTAACATAATAAAATCTTTTTATTTACTTAGATTCAAAGGTAGAGATGTTTGGCTGGAATGGATTGATTACAGTGGGTGTTGAGGGATGGAGGATTAGTCGGAGGAGGATGAAAAAGAAACAGGACCTGGTGGATTGTCCACTCCCACTCTTCTTTTCCCTGATCACTTCGAATTTTACATCTATATTATAGCTAATGTGCATCCTTTTGAGTGCTGCACCACCCTGTTTGGGTTGGGAACTCGTGGCTACAAAAACGATAAAATAATTCACCACAACATGCACGAAAAGATGCAACAAAGGCAGGAGTAAACACAACACAGCCCTGGTCTGGACGAAACAAAGCGGGAGACTGGTGCGGAGACACGTGTCCATGCATGACACCAGGAAGAGGATGAAATTTCAAGCGCTTCAGCTAAAAATCCAGAGTTTTCAGAGTATTTGATTGGTTTTTGAGTGGAATCCACTTAAATGCGGGAACTTTTTACGTGAATGGTCACAAAAAGTTGACCACTTAACTGCGAAACCGCGGATAGTGAATGAAAACTCGTATAACGAGGACTTCCTGCACAAGAATAAAAAATTATCGGCCCATATATGCATACATGTAATTATCAATTTTCAAATAGTAACACATAGCAGCGCTGCAAGTGAAGAATGAAGCATTGTAGTAGGCGAGAGGCATGGTAGGTGACAAAGAGGCATGATAGGGAACTCAGGGTAATGGTAGGTGACGCAGGGTAATGGTAGGTGACGCATGGGAATGGGAGGTGATGCAGGTGATGGAAGGGAAATGCTATATAAACAATGAACAGTGCGACACTTATGTATACTACTGTAATTTTGTCACTTATACAAATTAAAGAATAAAAAAAATAATAATAATTGATTCCTCTACAGTATGTATGGAATAATTTAAGTCTGAGTATGTAAATAAACACATACTACCTTATATCACTCGGGATATTATAGTCCACCCTAATAAACCATTTTCTTTATTACAGAGCAAAAAAGTAAAAATAAATACTCTAACGTGGCTTACAAATAAAGAAAATATAAGATCAAACTACAGTGATCCCTCGGTTAACGAGATTTCGGTTAACGAGTTACCTTCCATAAGATTCTTAACTTCGGTTAACGAGCAATCCCTCGATTAACGAGTTTCTTACGAGCCGACCTCCACATGTTTTAGCTTGCATTTGGCAGTCCACCAGCTGTAGTATTAGTCCACCAGCTGTAGTATTAGTCCACCAATACAGTAATCGGTTCCAGGGCTTAAATTCCTTACCCTTTTAGTAAATATCACGAAGTTTATACTATTCAATAATTTTAAAAGTTTAATATTAAACTTTTTAGTCATTTTAACAATTATTGAACTTAATTGAAGGTAGGGTCACTAGTTTGTGGCATGCCATCCAGCCTGCCAACACAGCATACAGGCGTCAGTCTTTTTGTCTTTCCAGTGGAGGTAACATTTTGCTTGAGACTCTCTTCAACTAAATGCTTTTTTTCTGTGTTTGCAAGCAAATTATTGGTCATTTTGAAATTTATTTTACATATTGACAATATATAATGCAATGCAGTGTTGATTTAAAGAAAATAATCTTGAATTACACCAAGAGAACTAAAATTTTATGGGTGAAATGGCACCATGGGGTGACTTCTCTTCCACCCCAATGCCTTCTCTTCTCCCTTCTCCTCCACCCCCATTCTAATTCCCATCATCATCCAGGAGCCTTCTACATACACACCTCAAAGTAAGTGTACCTTTCTACCTTTTTTGTTGAATTTAGGCAATTTTCGGTGAGCTGGAACCAATTACCCAAACACCCATTGAAACAATGGTTTCAGTTAACGAGTTTTTCGGTTAACGAGCAACCTTCTAGAACGGATTGTGCTCGTTAACCGAGGGACCACTGTACAATATAAAATAAGAAAAATGAAGAGCAGAGGTGGGTGGGTGTGGTTGGGGGGGGCGGTGAACGTATGTACTGTATTCCCTTTGTGTGTTTGCCTTTATTACAATTATTTCTTTTGCCTGTATTGTGTGTGTGTTTGGACACACACACACACAAAACACATACATATAAATGAAAATACTCTCACAAATAATCAAACAAATTTATTAAAAATGTGACATACCCAGGGTGAAGCCGAACATTACCCCACACGGCCAAAGCTTGACCCAGGCAGGTGTGAGGCGTCAATTGTGTCTCAGCAGAATATAACCTGCATTGTTGGAGTCCTTGCAAGACAGTGAATAATTTGAATATAGACATCATATATTCTGCACAAGAGATAAAAAATTTAGTCCTATAGTGTAGTACATTAGTACAGTATACGTTTTTCGACTCGTATTTTTGGGTAGATATACGTAACTTTCTTCATTTATTTTTACTCATTTACATGTACACACCATCCTAAATACATATTGTGAAAAAGTATAAGAAACAATTGTCCTAAGGGCAAACCTGTACTGTACTCAAATGTACTAAATAATTACTAAAAAATAAATGTCTAGTGCAAACTATAGCATGTTTATATTCAAATTATCTTACAAGAATTCCAGCAATGTAAGTTATATTCTCCCAAGTCAAGTCATTGACATTTTACAGTATAAGCTAAAAACTTAAACTCCCTCTGTATGACTGATAATGATGTCTGGGTAAGTCATCTCCCTGCCAGCTGGTCAATGCCTCACCTCACCCCCCCCTCCTTCCCCTTGACCTCAACCACCGAGTCACCTATACTCTCGCCTCCGCCTTACTGTCTCTAGAACAAATGGCTCCCTGTCCCAACCGCAAAAATGACGGCAGTTTTAAAACTACCCACAGACATTCTTGGGTACATCCAGGGTGTCATCAGCAAATAACAGAGGACTGCGAAATAAAAACCCGCAAACTTCGGGGGCCCCCTGTATATATATAAATGTTAAAAGATACCAAATTAAACTTTTAGTATCACTTACAATGTGAAAGTCCCAAATAGACCAAATTGCTATTTATTCTAATGGGAATCAATACCCCTTTATAAGTGGTTTCAATATCAGTGGCTTTTTTCTGGTCCCTATTAGCCACTTGTAACGAGGACCCCATGTACTCACTTTGTACTCAAATGTACTAGGCTAAAGGACAAAAATGTTTATCTCTTTTGCAAACTAATTGCTATCTTGCAAGGATTCCAGCAATGCAATTTATATTCTGCTTAGTCAAGTCTGTCAGGTCACCCTTTCTTGGGTGGGGGATTAGTGGGTCTCATGACCTGAAGATGTCTTGAATACAAACAAAATCTAAATTAATTTTGGGGAGACCTGACCTGACTCAATGTCAGGTGGAGGTTGGGTGGGGGATGAGTGGTCTTATATAACTGACCTTCTGATGGAATGTCAGGTCACCCTTTCTTGGCCGGGGGATTAGTGGGTTTCATGACGTGAAGATATCTTGAATAAATACAAAAGTTAAAGTATTTTTTGCGATTGTGATAAGTATAAATATAAATGGAGTGAGAAAGCAGAAAGGTGTGGGTAATTAGAGAGAGGGAGTGGAAATGAGTGTTGCCAAGCACTCCTCAAAAGCTGATATTTAACTCGCTACCATGCAGTTACACACGCGCAAATGTGTCATACAATAAGACCCTCACTCTTTATGTCTACGGTCTTAATTCCCTTGTTAGGGGTATGTGAGTGGTGTTGGAGTGCATGTGGGTGTGTGTGTGTGTGTGGGGAGGGTGTGTGTGTGGGGAGGTGTGTGTGTGTGTGTGGGGAGTGTGTGTGTGTGTGTGGGGAGGGTGTGTGTGTGTGTGGGGAGGGTGTGTGTGTGTGTGATCATACTACAGCAGTTGGTGTGTAATGTTTGGCTAAAGAGTGTGGGAGTCGAACCTTTTTGGCGGGTGAGGGGGGGGGAGGGTCATGCAGTCACTTTTCTTCCTCCCCCTCCCTTTCCTCACTCAAGCATGGCTAATTATGACAGGGAGAGGAATTTGATACCATAATGATCCTTAATAAATTCTCTACAAAACGTTTCCAATAAGACATCCTTAAACTGAATATTTCTATATGATATAGTG